GTCTGACAAGCGAGCTAAACATCTGGTACCTGGATGATGGCACTCTAGCTGGAACTCCGGAAACCATTTTGGGGGATATAAGGAAAATCCAGGAGCAGGGAGCAGCCTTAGGCCTCATTCTCAATGCATCCAAATGTGAAATAATCTCCCGCAACCCAGACATCACTGGGCAAATACAAAATGCTCTTCCAGACATTCTCGTTGTCGAGCCACCGGACTGCACTCTCCTGGGTGCCCCCATTGGCCCACGAGCAATCGAGGAGGTCCTGGCTGCAAAAATCACTGACCTAAAGAGAATGCAGGACAGGATTGACAAGATTGATGCCCATGATGCTCTCTTTCTCCTTACAAGATGCCTGTCTCTCCCTAAGTTGACCTACTTTCTGAGATGTTCTCCATCCTACAGCAGCCCTAAGTTAAATGTGTATGACACCCTTCTGAGGTCCATGCTGGTGAAAGTCCTGAACCTGCCATTGGACGACTCTCAGTGGGAGCAAGCAACCCTTCCTGTAAGACTCGGCGGCCTTGGTGTCCGCACAGCCTCCCAAATTGCTCTACCAGCCTTCCTTTCCTCCTCTCATGCATCGCACGACCTCGTCAGAGATATTTTACCTGCAACCCTGAGAGATTCAGCAGGAATACACGATCCTGCTTTCACTGAATGTTCAAATCAGTGGAATGTTCTTGCAGCCCCAGAAACCATTATAGAGCCAACAAAACAACACAAACAGTCCGGCTGGGACCACCCTCTAGTGGAAAAAGTAGCTGATGCCATGCTAAGCGTCGCAACATCAGACAAGGAGAAAGCCCGCCTCAGAGCAGTTCGTGCCCCCCATGCAGGAGACTTCCTCCTGGCAGTACCCATGTCTGCAATGGGCACGCGCCTAGATCCAGAATCCCTTCGTGTAGCAGTGGCCCTCCGCCTTGGTGCCCCAATTCACACTGAATACAAGTGTATTTGCAACAGGGTGGAAGCAGACCAATACGGACTGCATGGGTTGCATTGCGGAAGCACAAAGGGCTGGCATGCAAGACACAACGAGGTCAATGACATCATCAAGAGAAGCCTCGTCTCAGCTGGGTGCCCAGCGGAGAGAGAACCTCGCATCCTAGGGGTCCAAAACCCGGATTTCCCAGCACTTCGCCCTGATGGCATCACCATATACCCATGGAAGGAGGGTAGACAGTTGGTGTGGGACTACACATGTGTATCCACCCTGGCTGACACCTATGTACACTTCGGAGCTGATCAAGCAGGTGGGGCGGCCAACCACAGGGAAACAGCAAAATCACTCAAGTACAGGCGACTGGAAGGTCAATACCTCTTTGTTCCCATAGCGTCTGAGATGCATGGCCCCTGGGGCAAGAGTGCCTTGGGATTTCTCAAGGAATTGGGGTCCAAGCTCATTGACGTCACCAGAGACCCAAGGGCTTCCAGTTTTTTATTTCAGCGTCTCAGTGTGGCGATCCAGAGGGGAAATGCTTGCTGCGTCCTCGGTTCCTGTCCAGAAGCGGAGGAGCTTCAAGAGATCCATAACCTTTAGGCATTTGTCTTGTATGTTTTGTAACCTTTAAATACACAATAAAGGAAAAAAAAAGGGGAAGGGGGTGGTAGGAGAAAAGCACACAGAAACTGTATTGGAGGGAATACACATTCCCTCCAATGCGTTATGTGTGGTTTCCTCCGAGGCTATGGGTCCCCCTTCTTCCAGCCAGAGGTGGTACTCCCTTCCCTATATATATATATATATATATATATATATATATATATATATATATATATATATATCACGACCGGACATAATGAGGTGATAACCTAAGCTATTTGAACCACCCCACCGCCGGCACTCGGATAGTAATCTTGGGCATAGCATTTTACCAAATCACCTCATTCTTTGGGGCACACGTGAGGAACACAAATGCGAACAAGCCTGAATGGTCCCCAGGACAATATGCAACTGAAAACTCACACCCCAGAAGTGACTCGAACCCATACTCCCAGAAGCAACGCAACTGGTATGTACAAGACACCTTAATCCACTTGACCATCACGACCGGACATAATGAGGTGATAGCCTAAGCTATTTGAACCACCCCACCGCCGGCACTCGGATAGTAATCTTGGGCATAGCATTTTACCAAATCACCTCATTCTTTGGGGCACACGTGAGGAACACAATGCGATAGATTACTATCCGAGTGCCGGCGGTGGGGTGGTCCAAATAGCTTAGGCTATCACCTCATTATGTCCGGTCGTGATGGTCAAGTGGATTAAGGCGTCTTGTACATACCAGTTGCGTTGCTTCTGGGAGTATGGGTTCGAGTCACTTCTGGGGTGTGAGTTTTCAGTTATATTTATATATATATATATATATATATATATATATATATATATATATATATATATATATATATATATATATATATATATATATATACAACTTTAGAACACTTTCCCACCAGGAGACTCGAACCCTAGCCAGCACAGAAGCCTTCCAGCAACTGGCATAACAGGTACGCCTTTAACCCACTGCACCACGCTCAGACCCTTAACCATCAAACCGCGCATATCATATATAAATGATATCAGTGACAAAACCGAAACCGTGCACATCATTTATATATGATTTCGTGTCTAGCGCTATAATTTAAATGCCCCGCCTGGGATAGGGGCAGCTATAGTACAGCCACGACCGATAGTTGCCAGATGCCACCTAGAAAAAAAATCCAGGCCAACATTCTTGGGTGTTAAAGCGTCAGTATTGAGCAAGCCACCAAGGCTGGTGCACGCAGCACGAGCTCACAGCACCGCTGTTCAGCTTGTGACCACAGCATCGCCTACAAATACCATAATATAAACGATACTGCTATTATTTAGCAGTGATAGTATTACTGAAGCCCCCTGACTGTGATAAAACTGACCAGGATTCTGATAACAGCAGGATTGTGGTGATATTTAGCGCTGTGCTGCATGGAGGGAGGAGTAAGGCTGTGGGAGGGAGGGTTGTGGTGTCGTCTTCTGACTGTGTGTGGCCACCATTTATTGACTGCACTCACCATACCAGCTTAGTGGTTCGATATGGTGAACACAAATGTAGATACTTATATATAACGTGTGTATAGTGTGAGATAACAGCAAGAGGAGTAGGTTGGGAGCCGCCATTTTGGTGAGGGAGGAGCGTCGTCTGCACGACTTGGCATGGTGTTTACTGATGGCCACTATGGTCTTTGGGCACCATACCACCTTATTTGTTCAGGTATAGTGAATAAAACAGGTAGATACTTATATATAATGTGTGTATATAGCGTAATAACACCACAAACAATATTGTTGGAGGACAAATATTAGTGCGTCTGGCCTTGAGGGCGGCCGCCGATCAGCTGACTGTGTGAGTAGCTACGTCTTATGGCCTTCACTCACCATACAAGCTTAGATGTACAGTTATGGTGAACAAAACATGTAAATACGTATATATAACGTCTGTGTATAGTGAATAAATACAAAAGAGTATTGTGGGAGGTGAATGAGGGTGAGTGAGGTGGTGTTGAGGGAGGGAGTGGCAGTGAGTGGCTCGTTGGTGTTTGGTGTTTCATTCCTCGTTGCTTTTTGACTCACAAGACCAACTTAGTAGTTCGTTATGGTGTACAAAACATGCAAATACTTATATATAACCTGTGTATATAGTGTAACAACAGCAAAACTATTTGTTTATTGTTTTATGAACATAATAATTGAATCACTAATATGCACACCATAATTTTGAGTACAGCGATGGTTCACACATTTTATAATATAAATATACCACAATTCACTGTATGGAATAATATTACTGCAAAAAAACTTAAGAAAAAATCAGACATTGAAATAATTAGGTAATAATATATTTGTGGCAACTGCCGTCTGACAGCTCAGGCGGAGTAAACCTCGTCTGGCGAAGGCTCTGCCAATGCCCCTTTTTTGCCACACTTCCCTACCCTATTGCGGCTAAAATATGCCACCTACGATTTTTTTATTTTTTCCGTGATCAGGGAACAAAAATGAACACTTCTATAAGACGAAAGAATTTTTTGGAATTTTTTTTTGTTGCGCCTGTGGGTGTGAATTCCATTTGGGCCCCTAGCGGTTTGAGGGTTAAAAGAGATGGTAATTTCGGAGTATTTATACACACCAAAGACCACCATCTTCCAAGAGCAGGGAGATGGAAGGCTTCTGTGCTGGCTAGGGTTCGAGTCTCCTGGTGGGAAAGTGTTCTAAAGTTGTTTAACTTCACTCTCGTGTTTAGGAGAGTTGTGCATCAAGCATAGACACAGTGTTCTTCCATATTAACAGGGACTTGATGAAAAACGTAAGAATGACCCCTCACTTGCTCTAGTGCTCTTGGGAGATGGTGGTCTTTGGTGTGTATAAATACTCCGAAATTACCATCTCTTTTAAGGGTCTGAGTGTGGTGCAGTGGGTAAAGGCGTACCTGTTATGCCAGTTGCTCGAAGGCTTCTGTGCTGGCTAGGGTTCGAGTCTCCTGGTGGGAAAGTGTTCTAAAGTTGTATAACTTCACTCTCGTGTTTAGGAGAGTTGTGCATCATATATATATATATATATATATATATATATATATATATATATATATATATATATATATATATATATATTTATATATGCGAACAAGCCTGAATGGTCCCCAGGACAATATATATATATATATATATATATATATATATATATATATATATATATATTCTGTTTTGGTGGTACTCCCCGCTTGGCCCCCTGTGAGTGGACATGCCCCGGTGGTTCAGCTTTTAGAAGTTTGGTTGGTTGACTTGGGCGCCGGTTCGCCTGGGCTTCCCCTAGCGTGTTAAAATGGCTAAGGGCCCTGGTAAACCCCACGGGGAATACGTGGTGCGATGGATGTGACCCCTGAGTTCCCCCCCCCCTTCCCCACTCGCATCCTGTGAGTTTGAAGGTTGCTCTGTCCCCCTTGTCTCAGGATGACACTCACCGTTTGTGCCTCCGCCATGCTGCCTGTTGGGTCGGTGATTCTTTTGACCCGGAGTCATGTGACGTGTTTTGTCTGTATATGCTCCCGTTCACCCATGCCACTCCTCATGATATGCAGGTGCAGGCAGCTTCAGTGTTGCATGCTAGGTTTAGGGTGCTGCAATGCGCTAGGTTGGTTGTGGCCCCGGATGCCCCAAGATGGCCCCGTTTTGGTTATCGGGGTCCGGACTTGGGGGTGGGAGTCACTTCGGCTCTGGTTCCGTCCGCTCCTCCTAGTCCTTCCCCTTCTGTTGTGCATATTTCCTTCCCCTCGTTTCTGGCTCCGAACCGTCGGTGGGTTTCGGGGTTGGGACAGGGTCTGGTTGGGTTGAGATTTGGGCTAGCCTCCGGGTTTTTTTCTCCTCTGGGGTGGCAGAGGAGGCATTCGAGCCTGTTCCTCCAGTCGTGCCGTATGGGTCTGACCGGTGGGTTCTCTTTCTTAGTGTTTTGTAAGGCTGCCCCAGCTTTTACTTGTGAGGCTGGAGCTTTGGGGGGACGGCTTGGCCCCAGGTCCTGCCGTGGAAGTTCCAGGGGGTTGGGGAGGGGTTGCCTGGTGGTCCCTCAGCCCCGTTTTGCCCTGCATGGGTTTTTGTACCCTCGGAGCAGAGCTGGCAGTTCCTCAGACTGGGATTTTTCCTTCACCCTCTGTGCTCCCATTGTTTTCGGGTCTACCCCTCCCCGGGTTCAGTTCCGTGTCCCTTCAGGTCCGTCGGTTCCGTCATTCCTGGGGTTGTTTTCACCTCCTTTCCTCACCTTTTTCGTGATTATGTTGCGATACTGTTCCCTTTGTATTGGGAACCCTGCATGTCCCTTGCTCAGGGGTGTCTTTGGGCCCATATGTGCCTCTGTGCAATTGTGCTTGCTTGTCATGGGTCTCATTGGTTCGCGACCCTCCTTGGTACTACCTATATTATTGGAACGTCTGTTGACTTCCGGTGAGGTTCCCTCTGGTCCTTTCTTGGACTCGTTGGTTCCTTTTCCATCCTCCATGTTTTCTTTTGATTCTGTTTCGCCCAATTTTGTATTCACATCATCTCTCCTTCCTGTTTCGACATTCTTCATATTCGTTACATACACCTTGCTGGTGTATGTACGATATGTGTACATACGACTGGTGTGTTGCATGTGGTGTGGTGTGCTACATATGCACGACTAGTACAGTTCGTACTTCTGGGGCCGGGGTGATCGTTTTGTTTCTGGGTGGTGTACACTTGTTGTGTTCTGCATTCTTAATCGCAGTTTTCTATGCCTGTCTTGCTCATTCTCTCTCCAGTCATAATGCCCTAGATGTTGGGGTTTGTTCTGGAGTTTGTGTGGGGACATCTCCTCGTTGTTTTCTCTGTTTATGGGTGTGTGGTGGCTCAGAGTGGCACCACCTTTACCTCTGTCCTGCACCTCGTCTTCTGCTGGGCACATGATTCTGGACATCTTCCACTAGCGATGCTCCTGGTATGTTCTCGGCTTGACTGTGTCGTGACACGGTCATGTCTCCGCTCTGCAGGTGAGATTGTACAGTCTGGCGACTCTGTCGGCCAGGCGCTGGTTCTCGATTTTTGATGGGGTGTTGGTGTTGTGTTTTGCTTAGCCACTTTGTGTGAGTCTTACAGTGGCCTTCCTTGGTCAATGTATCTTGTTCTTGGTTACTCTGTGGGACGCAGCCCAGGTATTTGGTATCTTTTGTTTAGTCTTTAGGCGCCTGAATGTGTTTTTGATATTTGGACGCTCCTTCCTTGCCTGTCTTCGGTGCCTTGATGCACCCTTCTGTACATTGGAGTGTCTCTATATGTGGTTGGTCGTGTACCGTATGTTACCGGCTGCTACTTAGATCTTCTTCGTTCGTCCTATTCCTTGTACTCTCTTGTCCCTAGCTCCCATTGCTTGGACCGTTTTTTTGGTCTTTTCATTGCCTATTTCCATATTTCCTACCTTGATACTATGCATTGTGGTGTATCTTGGTAGGTGCTTATTGGCTTTATTGATGTTGGTGCTGGGCTACCCCTCTATATGTGTTCAGTTCCTTGATTTTGGGCTGCCCTGGTGTTAAGTTCTGGAACTGCATTCTTTCATTTTCCTTGTATGTCCCTGCCAGTTTTTGTCCTTACCTAGTTGTACTCCCCTAGGTGTGCTTGTGGGGGTTGAGCTCTGCCTGTTTGGTCCCACCTTTCAACTGTCGTTCAACTGGTAATTACCTAAGTATAATTACCTAAGTGTGGTGTACAGATTCCCAAGCCTACTGGGCTCTATCATCTCTACATTTGGACCTGTGTCTGGAGTCTGCCTCCAGCACATCGCTGCCTAATGCATTCCATCTGTTAACTGCGCTGACACCGCACGGGTTCTTTCTAACGTCTCTGTGGCTCATTTGGGTACTCAGTTTTCACCTGTGTCCCCCTTTTCGTGTACCACCCATATTCAACAGTTTCTCTTCCTCTGCCCTGTCAATTCCTCTGAGAATTTTGTGGATAGTGTTCATGTCTCCTCTTCCTCTTCTGTCTTCGTGTCGTGAGTTGCATTTCCTGTAGCTTGTCCGCGACACTCTTGTCTCTTTGCACTGGGACTAGCCTAGTGGCGTACCTCTGTACTTTTTCAAGCTTCATCTTGTGTATTACGGGCTCACCATAGCCCGTGCTTAATGGACACTTCGTTCTGAGTAGCTAAATCTGAAACAACAACATTCATCTTGTGCTTGACAGGGTTCGGGCTCCATACTGGGGGCGCATACGCCAAGTTTGGTTTTTTATAAGTGGTATACAAGGTGCTTGCACTGTCTGTGGGTGGATGTTGATTCCGATCACCATCTCCTGCCCTTATGGTTTCTTTTCATTGGGACAGGAGGAGTTTGTTTTTCCGGTCCTGGGTACAGCTTTTGTGTTCCTTTCAGGGACGTTCCTTTTGTTTTAGTGCGGTGCGTGACCTGCGTAATTCTCCTCATATATATCTTGGTAACACTTGCGTCATTCTTCCCTGCTGGAGCTGGTTGCGTTGCTCCTGCGGGTTGCGGGATCACTTTTTTTTGCTTCGCATTTTGGTTTGTGGTCCTCGTTTCCTTGTTGGCCTTTCCTGGTTCTCTGGCGGCCGTTCCTTCTGGTTCTTTGCCGGCCTGGGTTGGAGTGCTTCTTTGCTCGGTACCCGATCCTGAGAGTCTTCGTGTGACTCCGCCTCTTGTTGCAGATCAGTCAGCCCAGTACATGGCTGGTTTGTTCTTCCCCGCAAGTCTTTGGGTTTTTGTCTCATGTTCTCGTCTCATGTGTGGGCGCTAGTGGCTTCGTTGATGATCTCGCACCTGCATGCTTCGTCTCGGCGGCAGTGTGTAGTTTCCTGGCGGTTCTTCTGATTTTCTTATCACTGCGTAGGTTTACTCTGGTCTCTGATAGGGTTGTCTTGTCCTTCCCTTCGGGGTTGTTCCAGAACAGTTGTTTGGTACTGGATACTGTCGCCTAGTATTGGGCAGTGCTGGCGGAGCCGCTCCAGCTTGTGTTCAGTGTTGCTGTTCCTTCTGCTCCGTTCCACTAGCTGTCTAGTTTGTTTTTCACCTCCGGCCTGTTCATGTGCTTCCGGTGCTGTCCTGGTTGTTGGCCCAGGTGGTCTATCTTCTCAGTTTGTTGTGACCTCTTCAGTTGTGGTGTGTGTATTCTGCTCATTTCGTCCTGGTGGTAGGTTGCTCGTTTGCTGCAGTTTTCTTCTATTCAGGTGAAGTTTGAGTCTGCTGTTTTCCGGGGCGGTCCTTGGGTTGCTGCTTGGTTGGTCAGTCCGGCGGTGCTTCGTGTGTTGTGCTCGGTTGCGGTTCTTTGCTGTTCTTTGCGCGTCTTGGCCATGCACATCTTGGTCTCTGGGGCCGTGGACGCATTTTAGTTTGCCGAGGTTCCCTTCCTTCCCTCCTTTCTGTTCTAGGGTTCGGGTCTCCCGGGTCGTCTGCAGGGTCCTTTCGTTTCATCTGTGGTCTTGTTTTTGTGTAAGGGTGCATGGTGTCTGCCTCCCGGATCCTTCGCTCTTTTCCTTAGCTTTGGTGAGGTAGCTCTGGGGAGCCAATTGGGCTCCCCAGAGCTCCTCCTCCCCCACTAGAAAACCAGCGTTGAATGTAATGTAACGCCATTTTCTAGGAAAGTTCCAGAGGCTCCCAGGCATTCCTCCCTCCCTCTGGTCGGCGGTGTTTTTTGAGTATTTTGACATAGTTGGATCAGTTGACGCCAGTTGGATCGCTGGCGCAGAGGGTCTGGGGCTCCCCCTTCCTCCTCCCGGGCAGGGATGGGAGGGGGGGGGGATGGTGTTGCGCAGACGGCGACGTGACGACATCATGCTTGTTTAATAATTTTGCTTGGAGAGTTCTGTCCACTCGTTGGATTTTCGGTAGCAGTATTTTCACCAGAATAGTGGTTTGTTTTGGGGCGCCTACCTTTCTGAGTGGCTGTTCGGGTCGATGGCAGACATAGATTGCTCTCAACCACAGCGAGGGGTTCTATAGGCCATTGCTCCTCGTGCCTCTTTGAGGGGGCCAGGTTCTGGCTCGTGGTCCCCGGTAGGCAAGAGCTCCAAGCACTTTGATGCCAGAAAGTTATACATAACCTTTCAGGCTGGATAGCTTTGGGGACCCTCCATGACTCGCCCAGAAAATGGGGTTTCATTACATTCAACGCTGTTTTTTAAAATGTCGTCTGTTTACAAGAGCCCTGAGGAAGCTGATGTGAACCCCGTGTAGCCGCGGGCGTTTAAATCTTGGCGGTACTCCTAAAAGTCATATGAAGTGGTGCACACTTTCGCGTCAGTTACTCAACATGTCATATGAAGTGTTGTGCAGTTTAGGGGTTACTCCATTTCACATCCCTAAAAATATTAACTTAAAAATACATTTTATACAATACTAATATTTTTCATGCACAAAACAATAACGTATAAATATAAACCAGAAATAAAATAAGTGAACATTTAACTGCACTTCATCTTCACTGAGGAATCTTGTTGGCATATGGGAGATGGTGAGGA